GATACCACTGTACAAGATCCACCCCCCCTATAACGCGGTAGATACATTCCACTTTATAAGAATTTCGTGTTGTAGGAATCCTTAAATACATGAGCCAATCACAGCCCGGTACGTGTGCAGTTTACGGACTACGGCTGTTTGAAAGGTTTCCTTCCATAAAATTAATCGATTCTAGACTAATTTGACTCAACATTTCCAAAACACATACAATTTTTTGGCAATAATCCGTATAAACTAGGCTATAAACAAAAAATTGTAGGATTACTTACCGAGTGTACACCGTTCAATGACGCCATTGCTTAAGCTTGTTTTCGTCGCAGAGCAGTGCACCTAACAGCAGGCGCGTTTTCTAAGTTATTTTTCTGCAAAAAATTCGTTGAACTTTGGAGACATCATTAATAGAAATAATTTTTATGGTCGTTGAATAAGAAATGTTTTTTCACAAGAAATGTATAAAATTACAGTACTGTATTAGACTTACAGTACCTAATTTATATACTGTACAGACAATAGTAAACTAAACTTACCCGCCTAAACTCTCTGTAGCATGTAAGTAGTTTGGCTGCTCGTCCACTATTGGTCCAGATTCAACCAATCCTGTCGCGACACGAGTCAGCGATGACGTTTTACCGCATTTTAAGAGTCTCTTTTAGCGTCTTTGTACGAATACGGTCGCAATTTTTTTGCCACAATATATGAATCCGCATTATATGAACCTACGTTATGGGGGGGGGCGACTGTAAATACAAACTTCCAGCCCAGACCGAAATTTTGTATATAGTTAGTCAGAGCCTCTTGTCCCTAAGCTTTTCATATCTGATTTCGACTTTCATCTATTAACTCCATTCTCGAGATTAAGGATGGAAGGAAGGACAGACAGATGAATGCCAGTGGAAATTTGTAGATCTGCAATTTTTTAAAATTGCAGCACAATTAAATATTAATCTTTTTATTCTTTGCCTATCAAGATTGATCAGTTATCCAAAATTATCCCACCTTGATTATTCAGATAATTGATGCTTTACTGTATGAAAAACCTAGTTATTTTATCCAATTCTTACTTAATTGTATAGTAGAAGAATACACGAAAAATCAATTTTTCTTTCCTTTCTGACTTATGGAGTGTATATAACTGTTACTGTGAAAGACCAAAATTAGAGAATGTCGATATTCTCCAGTGAATGCAAAATATGTCGGTGAAAGTCTGAATATTTGGTTATATTATTATACATTCGAACAATTGCTGGTGTATGTCGACAAGCACAGATAAGCTTTGGTGGAGGTCGAAACGACACCCGAGAAGCCTATGTGGACAGAGAGGCGACAGTTTGTCACCAAATACTTTGTGGATAGCCGGAGGTAGGACACAGTCGTACCTCTTTTTCCAGCAACAGTTTGATGGAAACTGCCCACTTTGTCACTAAATGGTGTTTTTGTTCTTTTGATCCCGTGAGGTGGGGATTGGTTTGTCAGATAGAGTGGCGGAGGATGAGAGTGGTCATTGGTCAGCGATATCTGAATAAAAGACACCATTAACAGATTTCATAATCACATAATAACGTAATCCGTTCATAATTTGTAAAGAAAAATTACTTTCAATAGATGAGATTTCTTCTCAAGAAATATCACTGAGAGAAGCACCCGCAACTAATTTGAAAAGTGGAGGGCAAGGCTATACACGCTGTCATTGCAAAAAAAAAAAGTGTTTCACAAATAAATGCAGTTGTAAAAGCAAGGGACTCTTGTGCAATTCAAAGTGCCATAGCAGTTTAAGTTGTTTGCAATAAATGAGATTGTATAACGTTGATCACATAATTTATGTGTAAGTTTACTATTGTATTATTTTCTTTAATGATTAAGAATGTACTGTTCATTTTAGGTTCAAAAGTTTATTTACATGTGCTGTTAATTAAGATTTCTCCTATTTTCACATATTAAAATGTTGCATTTTTGTCTTAACGTAATAAAAATATTTTTATTCAACTGATGGTGCATTCAGCATGCACCATCAGTGCATGCTGAATGTCGACATTTGCCAGTGTAAGTGAGAAATAATGATATTTAACAAATATTTCATACATACACAAAACGACTGTGTGAATGCTGACATCCACCGGAGAATGTTGACATTCGCCAGCTATCGGTCATTCACAGTAACATAACTTCAAAATTCAAATTCTGTCAACACATCTGTATTTAAATTAACCATATTATTTTGCATAATTATGGCAAAATGCTCTTTAACTTTTCTTTTTACATTATTTTTTTTTTATTATTTGGCATTTCCATGGGTTCAGTAATTGGACCGAAATTAGCAGATATCTACATGTTAGATACGGACAAAACTTTATCAAACCTACAGGGCATTATATTTTTTGCAAGGTATGTTAATGACATATTGATTATATATAATAGTGTAATAACGACACCTGTTCAAATATTGAAACAAGCCAATGAGATTAATTCAAATATTAAATTCACCCGAAAAACCAAAAATTATAATAAAATAAATTATTTAGATACAACAATTACAAGATTTATAGATCACCTTGAATATTGTAAATTTGAAAAACCATGTAGTGCTATAAAAGTTATTAACTTTAAATCGTATTGCCCTATAAATCAAAAACGTAATATATATTTAATGGAAATAAGAAAGATTTTTTCCAGAACAACAGGAACAACAGACAAGAAGTATATTCTAACTGGATATCCAATGAAAATACTACATAACTGGTACAACCATTTCATATTAAATAGATATAAGGTGAAAGAAAAGCAAGAAACCAATAAGTACATATTATTTCCTTATATAAAAGGCATACAGTATATGAAAAGTATAACAAAATTCTTAATCAAAATTTAATTAAACTGGCTCCAACTCAAAATAATAGGTTATCTGATCTTATGGTTAAAAGAAATATTAAAAAGGACTCATTAGAAGAAGAAGGTGTGGTCTACAGACTCCAATGCGCAAGTAATATTCCAAGTTTCTATATTGGTAAAACGAAGAGAAAATTGAAGACCAGATTGTTGGAACATTTAGCAGCTGTAAGATTAAAAATTAATAATTCTCCTACCTTTCATCATTGTTGTATTAATAATTGTGAAATTAACAATGATAATGTAAAAATTGTTTATAAGGAAAAGAATATAAAAAGAAAAGTTAAAGAGCATTGTGCCGTAATTATACAAAATAATAGTTAATTTAAATATGGGTGTGTTGACAGCTGCATGCTGGGAGACTTTTGTCGGATATAAAGGTGAAAATTCGTAATAGTTAATCGCGATGGAAAATTATCGGAGTTCAAACTGTATGCTAAAATCTCTACTGAGGAGGCCAAATATCGTTGGCAAAATGTATTTAGGGAATTTACAAATGTAATAAAAGTGTTTTTCTCTGCAAAGTTGGTATGCTTTTACTTTTTTTAACTTTAATTTTTATTTCATTATTGATGTAATGTTTTAGAATTTTGCAGTTATATACACCTCCGTAAGTCAAAGGAAAGAAAAATTGATTTTTCGTGTAGTTTTCTACAATACATTTATGCAAGAATTGGATAATTAATCTGACTCCATTGTTTTAAATAGTTATTCTGAACTAGTTATTTTAGTTTTAATTATTTCTATTTATATGTCAAATGCTCTGCTCCTTGTTATCAGTAATTTTAAAGTAATTATATAATTATCTTAATAAAAGATTGTTTGTTCCTGGTGATTGGACATGATAGAGATGTAAAGACAAATTTAGTTTATTCCAAGTTTTTTAATTGATAATTATATAATTATTCTCAGTTTTCAGTAAAAATAATTTATAATTTAAAACATTTATTTCTGGAACTTACTTTGTTATCTATACCCATTTTTGTTCGTAAACCCATCATAAGCAGCTCTTCTAAGCTAGAAATGAATTATACAAAAAATTTATAAATGAAAATCTTAAGTTGTAAATATCAATGTAAAGATAAAAATAACAATTACATTTCTTTAGACGACTGAAATACAACTTTTCTGGTCCCATGACCGTATTTTTCTACTTCATACATCCAAATGTCAGGTTCTAAAGTTTGAATTCTTGCTTCTCTTATTTTATTTCCAACTCCTCTGCATATAAAACGGCCATGTGCACCTGAATCGTGTTTCAATTTCTGATTTATGGAATACCAATTTAAAATATTCTGAATGAATAATACCTGGACCAATTCCAATGTATTCGGTTCCATTCCAGTAAGAGGAGTTATGTACACTTTCAGCACCCTTAAGATTTGTTTATATTTAATCTATAATTGAAGTAAGTACTTATTATATCACAATATTCTTACATTTCTTGCATAATTGGATACTTCATAATGACTGAAGTTTGCTTCTGTTAAAATCTAAAATTTAAATTATAAATTAAAAAAAAAAAAAACAAAAACATTTTGTATACTAATTTAAATAATATTAACTTTTACAGTGTCTTCATACATATCAGCCATTTCATCATCATTGGGCATAATCTAAAGCGGCAATCGTCAAAATATCATAAATAAAAATTTATTAATAATATAGTATTTCTTAAAACTATACAGTAAGTTTTCAATATTGTGCATAAAACACAAGCAATTACTAATGTAATAATAGCAATTGGTTGATAACAACCACTGAATAGATTAATAAAGAATTAATTTGATTGTAAGGAAGATATTAATTTATTTAAAATAATTTTATTATTTCTATTTTAACTACTATTAAGATAGTTTTACTTACTATTTCTTTATTTTTCACCTGCTTAAATAAGCTTGTGCCTCTTTCTACAGTCAACTGATATATAGAAAGGTGATCATCACAAAGTTTTAAAATCTGAAATGAATAATTCAAAATTAAAATCAACTCACTTATGTCATATGTAGTAAAAAAAAGCAAACATAATTAATGTACACATAGTTAATTGTTGTCAGGGTTTCTGTGACTTATAATTTTCCAACCAGAAACAACAAAACAAAAGTGCTTACAGAATATGAAAGTGTAACTACAAAAGTTTAATTTGCAATGCTGTACTCAACAAATTGATGTCTGGAGATAATATGAATAATTGCCATTTTGAAGTATGATGTCAAGAAAAGGCAATGTGTATATATATATATATTGTTTTCTTTGAAACAAAATCCAAAGTCCTTGTTACAGACTCAGTATGGAAAAATCCACTTTCAGATAATGCCATCAGACATCGGTTAAAGGAATTTCAAAAGACTGGTAGTGCTCACCACCAAACAGCAGCTGGAAGACCAGCACTGGGCAGAAAAATGTTGATTCTATCCAGGAAGCATTTTCTCAAAGCCCACAAAAATCAACTAGACAAGTTTCTTTGCAGTTATATATACCAGAAATAACCACCTTCATCTATTTGCTTACAAATTTCAAAATGTGGAGATTTTATAACCCCATACAATAAACCTTGTCATTTCCAAGTTTGTCCAAAACATTTTCTCAAAAATCAAAGCTGACGAAACTTACTTTCAGAGATGAAGATTTAGATTTAGCTTTAACTTTGGGTTTGGTAGATTAAGGCGACGTGACAATTGAGCGATTTGCCAAGGGAAATGCAACCTAAGACAACTTTCTGTGAGAAATTGGTCCTTGTTTGTGTGTTAAACAAGTGAAGAAAATATTGTAATTTTTTCTTCATCATAGCATTTCACCTACATTTTAACAAAAGCTCTGAACTTTCAAATATCTTGCAGTTGATGCATAGGATATTTTCAGCTCCTTTACATGTCTTCACAAAAACACTGCTTCCAATGTTTAAGGTAAACCATATTCACTTTAACCTAAGTTCATTACTCTAATAAATAAACACAGAACTAATTTGTGTCAAATATTCAATAGGAGGCTATACTCTTTCAAAAGTAATTGAGAAAACTTCAAACAACTGTCACATTTCACAATTCTACATCATCTTGTGAAATTATTTGTAAGACATATAATGCAATAATTGTCATTCTAGTAAGCTATAAACTTGTTCTTTCCATTGCTATAAAATGATCTAATTATGAAATAGACATACAACATAGTAATTTTATGACTAGTTAATAACCATAGCTTTAACTTAAATTTTCTTGAACATTGTAACATTTTAATGTAAAAATCGAAAATTACTTTGATTAATCAGCAAATTACCTGAGAGAGTTCTTCAATCCAAGACTGTCTACTTTGTCCCGGACGTCCAAATATCATATCTAAAGAAGTAGATCCTGGGAAAATGTTTTTGGAAATATCGAGACATTTTAAAGCTTCTAGCGAATTATGGTTTCGACCCATTACTTTTAAATCATGATTGTCCAATGCCTAAATGATTTATTTTATAAAAATTTATTAAAGTGATTTTACTTTTAAAATCAATTTTAAAATTCTATTAACTTTTTTTATATGTAATGTCATCTTTTTGAAGAAATTAACTTTTATTTTAGTAAAAATATATTGAAATATTCTAAATAGAAATTTCATTAAATATATATGTTAATGCAAATAAATTCAAAATTTATTTTTGAAACATACCTGAATACCTATTGACAATCGATTTACTCCTGCAAGTTTAAAATCCCTGCATGTATTCAAATAAAAATAATTTTATTATGAAATATAATGAAATAAAGTATAATTACTACACTAAAAATTAATTACAGTAGAGCGTCGTTTATCCGAATCAATTGGGGACTGGGGTCATTCGGATAACTTATTTTTCGGATAACCGATTATGTACGAAAAAATATATTAACCTATCCCGTGTTGAAATTTTTCTCCGTTGCATGTCGCTTCGCATTGAATTTTCGTCGTTGTTAAGGCTAACGAAGACTATTGTATCATTAAAAAAATTTTTTTTTATTTTGTACAAACAAAATAAATATATTGAAAAATATAAAAACAATAAAAAATTATACTTCAGAAGTTAATTTAGTATCAAAAACGTAAAATATTTGAGTAGCCCAAGACATAGCCAAAGATTGCAGCGCCACAGCACTGGCGAAAATCTAAATTTGCCGACTGGAATTCTTTCGGACGATTGACNTTCTTAAAAGAAGAACAGCCTATCAATAAAGAATCAGCTGTGTATAGAATGGTACATGAAGACACTGGTAAAGGTAAAAGTACATTTAATAAACATATTTACTACAGATTAGTAGAACTTACGTGATAGGTGGGACCAAACAATAACCACGTAAGTCGGGGTATAATTTCGCAATTTGTGTAAAATTTAAGTCGGATGTATGTAAGCTAATAAATGTTCTCGTTAATCTTATCTCGTCTTTTGATTCGTTTACGGTTACAAGAAATCACCACACGGAGTCTCTTAAGTCTCTGTAGATATAACAAACACAGAAATAAATAACACAAAAGAAATTGTAAGTATGTGTTGATTCTGCACGACACATCCGAACATGTAAGCTGAACAATAGCGTGGGGAGAGTGAGTGATCAAGAGTTGCATGGTGCTCAAACAAAAGAGGAATTGACGAGATTTGAAAATCGCGTAACTCCAGGTTCACGTAAGTGGGGTAGTGTAAGTCAAGGTATTACTGTATATATATATATATATAAGGAAAATTTTGACAGTTGTGCCATAAGAATACTGGAAGAATCAACATGTGAATAAAGTACACATTAAAACAGACTATAACTACAGGACAATGCTTGTTTTCCCAATTTATTATCATTATGACATTGCTTCATCGTTGCAGTCTATGTAATATGCACTTTATTCACATGCTGAGTCTTACTGTCAAATCTGCTTCCAGTATTCTTGTACTGTACATACTGTATCAAGGATCAAAGTTGGCACTTTAACATTAAACTTGTGGCAGAACTTTACAGTGCTATTGCATTCTAAAAATCATTATCTACTAGGCTCTAATAAAAATGGAAATAACAAAAAATGTTTTCAAAGAAAATATGTTTACTGTAAATTTTTCTAATGAGACTCATTTTGCTTGACAATGATTCACATTCAAAAATAGCCACATAATTAAAAAAACCTAAACAATGCTTATATTCAATCCTACATAAAGGTCTAATGTATTAAAACTATATTTTATTTTCATTCTCTAATTCCCTTTCATATGAAATTAGAGAATGAATGGAATTAGGGAATTAAATAAAATTAGGAAATGAAAAAATAAATAAGGTTTACTACATTAAAACTGTTTATATAGGATTAAATATAAACATTGTTTCAGGGTTTTATAATTCATTATTTGGCTATATTTGAATATGATTTATTATCAAAGTGAATCGCATTCGAAAAATTTATGGTAAACATATTTTTAGTGTAAGATTCTTTTGGGTATAATTTCTAAATGCTTTGTTCAATTTCAAATCTGAATGCACTATTAGATTCATCATTAAAAATGATTTAAAACTATGTATAGGGTTATCATACAGTCCTATATATACAGGACTGTCACTGTATTTCACTACTCAGTCCTGTATTACTATTTGTCCCATTTTCTCCCTAAACTCTGTGAGAGGTGGCTGGCATGTGGTGACACCCCGGATCTCTCAATCTGTCAGAGCTCAGTGAATGCTAATTTGTTTTGCACGTATGTAATAAAATAAATACTATATTTACTTGCATATAAGACGAGGTTTTTATTCATTTTTCACTGCTTCAAAAACCTAGGTCAACCTATATGCATGAGTGAAGGATCCTTTGCATTTTTTCAATAATTTTTGCGAAGTGTGTATTTGTCTTGTGTTTAAAAACAAAAGTATTTTATCTGGGTTGTTTGAATTGTTCTTGTGTATTGTCAGGAGTAAAGGTGAATAGCAATAGGAAAAGCAAAGCTTTTGAATTAAATTCCAAAATCACACATGAGCCCGATATAAGTTTTAATCCATTTCCGTGTGAAAATAGACGATTATTTGGAAATCCAAATTCAGAAAAACTCATAAGTTTAATCAACTGTTAAATATTGGCTAAAAAGGTTCCTGATTGTACATCTTTACATAAACTATGCAATCGATTTTACCAGATTTTTCCTTAAGTTTAAAATGCCAGTAATTTTTGCGGGACAATGTGTGCATTTACATGCATTTGATATTTTTGTTTTTTTGTGACTAAATGAAATAAAATTAGAATTGTATTAATAAATCTAATTTTCTTTATTTTGATCTTTAAAGTCACACCTCGTCCAATATGCAAGATTGTCTGTGTTATATAAAAGTAAATACGGTAATTGCTCACTCCTGCACACTGAGTCTTTTTTTAGGTAAAACCATTTTTATACCTGTAATAAAAAATGCCAAAGAGGAAGTGTCATTTTAAAGATGGTCATTTATAAAGAAAGGTCAAACTGAATTTGAAGCACTATGTTCTATTTGTAATTCTTATATTGCCATTAACAATGGTGGAAAATCCAACATCCAACAACATATTGCTACAAACCTTCATAAATCAAATATCAAGGACTGCTTCAACTTCTAAGAATATTTCTAGTTTTATGATAAAGAAAGATTCAGAAGAATAAATTTTAATTGTGGCTGCTGAGCTGACTACAGCATACAAAGTAGTACGTCACCAATCATTTAACTCGTTAGATTGTACTGTACTACTAAACTGAATGCATTGATGTATGCTGACTCAAAAGTAGCCACTAAACAACCAACTGCCAGAACTAAGGCCACAACAATTGTGAAAAATATACTTGCCCTTGCAGTGTGCAACAATGCATTAAAGATTTAAATGAGGTGTTGTTTTTTGGAATAGTTACAGATACCAGTAACCATAATGTTGAAAAGATGTTTCCCTTAGTAATCCAATTCTTCAATGAAAAAAACAGACAGCAATCTAAATTACTAAAATTGATTTCTTTATGTAATGAATGTTCTGAAACAATTGCCAAGTATTGCAAAATATCTCTTGAAAATCTAAATATTCTCATGGATAATATGAGATATGCAGCGGGTCAGGAGTTAATCTCTGCCTGACCACTTACTCTGCAACAGGTTGATAAAACCTGATCTCGGAGTCTGTTGGATGGCTAGGAGGGCAAATCGAGTGGGGATGGGGTGAAGAAGCTGGCAAGTGTCCTTAAATGACAGGAAACAGGTTCAACAATATAGTAAACATTTATTGAATGGCTAAGCTAGGATACATAAGGCAATAACAATATATAGGTTAAATGTGGTTAGATACAACTAAGAGTAACTGCGGATAACACAAGTTCACTATACCCAAAAAGGGATGCCCTAATAGCTTTAACGGCTAGTCTGAGAGAGAGTTCTCAAAGCTCTAAAACAATTCAAATACCTCAATGCGGATATAACCTCACGCATTTGATGAATATGTTCCTTAATGGCGATGGAAGTTCTGTCGTATGTTATGTCGATCCAGCGTATGGAGACAAAACGCACAGTTACAAGTATAACTTCTGAGAGATCGCGCTGAGCTTCCAGGAATTCGAGCTTTTATATCATTCACGTGGGAAAACTGACACGTGATTGACTTTTGTTGATGATGACGGTGCATTCTTCACACCTAAGTGTCAACTTTCCCATCTAATTGTTATTACAATCGGTGACCTCCGATCTAGTTCAAATTCTTTGGGTTTTTTCCAAAGATCTTTACACTTGATATTAAATTTGGATTTTTTTTAAGAGCCCCGTAAAAATCCATGGGCTCACAATAAGCTTATTGCTTTTTGCAGAGATAATGCAAACACTAACTTCAGAGGCCTAAACAGAGCTGGAAGAAATAATATGTTTTTTAGACTGAACTCGTAATTGGAAAGAGTTATTGAAGACTGATGTTTCAATTGTCAATGTTGAATCAATAGTCGTCAAGATATTCAAGTACTTTAGCATCTACACTAAGAGGAATGAAAAACTCAAAGAGCTTTGTGAATATGTTGGTGTTGACCACAAAAACTTATTATCCTACATTGAGACCAGGTGGTTATCACTTTTACCAGCAGTTGAAATAATATTGAAACTGTGGCAGCCATTAAAAGATTTTTTCACCAATGAAGAGAGAAACCATCAAAAGCTAATAAAGATTTTTTTGATGATACAATGAGTGAAGCTTATTTTTGCTTCCTGCATTCACAGCTCAATACATTTGAAACTGAAATTAAAAAAATAGAAACATCAAACATCACAGTCCTGGAAGTAAAGTCTGTATAACAAGAGACAAAACAAAATATGATCAAAAGAAAAAATCCAATTTTATTGAAATGGCGACAAAACGAATCTTGAATCGCTTAAAGGTTGATTCTGGAAGCAGCACCAAAGTGGAAACTTTTGAAAAACAGGCTATCAATTTCTTTAATATTGCTGTAGAATATATTGAGAAATGGTCACAATCATTCCAAAAATTCAATGCGTTCAACTGGATGACTCGCAGCCAAATTCCTGAATGAGAAGAAATAGAACATACTATTGCATATTTACAAGTAAGAAACATCGATATTGGCAACATGAGATTCTATTCAAGCAGTTTGTATATCTAAAAGATTATTTAGAGAAAAATAATAACAACCAAAATTATAAAGCAACTATGAAATTGAGTATGGAAGAGAAATGACTCAAGTTATTTGCAGATACAAAGCAT